TACGTTAAAAGAAACCTCATTCGAGTCTTCCTAATTTTAGAATAATTCCAACAAGTAAAAAATTAGGAAGACATGTTTTAGTAACTTGTATTGATACCGGGTTTTTTCATACCTTTTTCACTTTTCCAGTCTTTTAAATTTTATTAGTTAACCGAAATGTACGACTGCTGTGCACTTTTAGGCGACAAACAGAAGCTGGAATACTAAACCGATGGTAAGATGAGCAAATTTGAGATTAAACCTTATATTGCTTTTTTAGAAAGTCAGCTAATTCTGCAAATTCTAAGTCTAGAATTTTTTTACTCTGAATTTTATTCAATGTCTTCAGTAGAAAATTTTATATATTTTTTATTTAGAACCACTTTAAATTATACTACAGAATGATCTGTTGTTTCTATAGGAAGCGGATTATAACAGCTCTTGCCTAAAACCATACTATGTGGTACAAAAAAACCAGTTTTTCTGCTTTGTGTTCAATATTTTCTTCTTTGTTTCAACTGCTTTTACAGTAGGCTAATAGAAAAATAACATTAATGACAGAATGTAACCGTTCTTCCGATTTAGGAATATTTCTTTGCAAATGTAAACAAGTTTTACAGAGACAAGAGATGAGTGAAAAACGATGAAGAATTTTTAACCAGGGAGTGATCTGTTGCTGCTAAAGGAAGTAGGATAAAAAGCTCTTTAATTTTTTCTCTAGTTTTTTTCCAGAACTAGCGTTTTGACGCTTATAAGTTGTAGTTTAGAAAACTTTAACAATTTTTTTAAATTTTTAAACCTTGCAATTAATTTCTTTTTCTTTTTTTTGTTAATAATATGTTATAACACTAGGTATTTTTGCAATAAAATATAAAATATTCACAAGTGCGTGTTCAATATTGACTGTATTTACAAAACAGTAGAAAAGATTTGAAGCCAGTTATTTAAATGTTCAACAGTGACTGAACCTACACCATAGCTAATTATAATTAATATTTTAAGACGTTATCAAAAAAATTCAAAATAAATTTAATTGAACATGAAGAACACCAAACACTATTTGCTAAAATGTAAAAAAATCAATGGCAATTAGGTGACGAAAAAAGGTGCGGGGGCTGCTGTCACAAGTTCTCAAGTCTTTTATCATTTTCATTTCGCTCATTTATTTTAAGATTTCAACACTTTTACTTTGCTATAAGTTCTTATTTGTGAATAACAGTCTGATTCAGCAGTCACCGAAGAAAAGAAATAGTTGTTTAATGTTGTATAATGTAAAAATGACCTTCATGTGACTTGTTGCTCTCAATATCACACTTTCTTCGTTGGGGGAAGTGTGAAAGATACAATTTTTTTTAAGTCTACTTAATTTCTAGCAGTCTTTAATGCGGTTTGAATAAACCCTGTTAGTTTTAACAGCATATATTAAGGTAAAAGCGATCTTTTTTTATTAGTGGCAAGTAGTCTAACAGTAAGTGGTTATCCTCAGTTTTATGTTCAACATTCTAGTTTATAACGTTCCCGAAATGCTGAAAAAAACTCATTAAAAATGCTCAATATCTGAGTAAACATTAGCAGCTTGGAATTCCTGAGCAACTCAGAGCTATTTTTTGAAGCACACTCAAACTAAAAAACAATAAAGTGCCCAAAATTTGACCAAACACATCTAGAGAATCAGATGACTTAAAAAATTACTTAAGAAAGTATACTAACAAATCAAGTTCTTTATTTGGTCCTACGTTGAGGAAAAATGCATGATTTGTCAAAGTAGGTACAGTGCTTAAGCAATTAGAAAAAGACAACAAAACTTAGTTTAGAATTTCAAGAATGGTAATTGAGCGCAAAAAAAGGAACAGTTTTGATTTTAAAACAACGATTAATAAATATACTCAAAAACATTAAACTTTGGTTGTAAAGAATTGAGAACTCACTGCAGCAAAGTTTGTAACGAACTTGAAATAGCAAATTTTATAGAGATTTTGTTGACAAAAGCTACTTTTGTATACTTGTAGACAGTGGCACCGTAAATGACGATAACCAAAAAATGTTAATAGGATTTCTATTACTGCAACAATATAAGGAAATAGCAGATAATGTCTTTAACATCTGCTGACTTATTTTGGAAATCCTCATTTAACTTCTCACTTCTATTGTAGGATGGCTAAAGTGCAAAAAAAA